GTGGTTTTGCTATTGAGAATAGTTCTATGGTGAACATACAAGTGCATGTGTTTTTTTGGTGCAATGATGTATTTTCCTTTGGGTATATACCTAGTAATGGGATTCCTGGGTCCAATGGTAGTTCTAATTTTAGTTCTTTGAGAAATCTCCAAACTGCTTTCTACAGTGACTGAACTCATTTGCACTTCCACCAACGGTGTATAAGCCTTCCCTTTTCTCTGCAGCCTTGCCAATGTTAGTTACTTTTTGACTTCTCTATAATAGCCATTCTGATTGATGTGAGATGGTATCCCATTGTGGTTTTGATTTGCATTTCTCTCATGTTCACCGATGCTGAGCATTTTTTCATGTTTGTTGGCCGTCTGTATGTCTTGTTTTGAGAAGTGTCTGTTCATGTCCTTGGCCTGCTTTTTAATGGGGCTATTTGATTTTTGCTGGTTGAATACTTTAAGTTCTTTATAAATTCTGAATATTAGACGTTGGCTGCATATATAGTTTGTGAAGATTTTCTCCCATTCTTGAGGTTGCATGCTTACTTTGTTGATACTTTCTTTTGCTGTGCAGAAGCTCTTTAGTTTAATTAGTTCTCATTTGTCAATGTTTGTTTTTGTTACAATTGCTTTTGAGGATGTAGTCATAAATTCTTTGCTGAGGCTGATGTCTAGAAGGGTATTTCCTAGGTTTTCTTCTAAAGTTTTTTTTTACTTTTTATTTTTTAGAGACTGGGTTTCTCCATATTGGTCAGGCCAGTCTTGAACTCCTGACCTCAGGTGATCCACCTGCCTTGGCCTCCCAAAGTGCTGGGATTACAAGCATGAGCCACCACGCCCAGCCTAAAATTTTTATAGCTTAAGGTCTTACATTTATTAATAAGTCGAATCCATCTTGAGTTAATTTTTGCATATGGTGATAGGTAGAGGTCCAGTTTCATTCTTCTGCATATGAGTAGCTAGTTATCCCAATGTCATTTATTGAATAGGGAGTCCTTTCTCCATTGTTCGTTCATCCTGTGTTAATATGGTATATTACGTTGGTCAATTTCAGATATTAGACAAAGCTTGCATTCCTAGAATAAATCCCACTTACCCATGGTGTATAATCCATTTTATATGTTGCTGGATGCTATTTGCTAGTATTTTGTTGTAGATTTTGTATCTATATTCATAAGAGATACTGGTCTATAGTTTTCTTGTGATCTTTATCTGATTTTTGTATCAAGGTAATACTAGTTTCTAAGTGGGCAGTATTCCTACCTCTTCTTTTTATAAGAGTGTGTGAGTGATTGGTATTAATTCTTTCTTAAATGTTTCATAGAATTCACCAGTGAAGCCATCTGGCTCAGGACTTGTCTTTGTGAATCATTTGATTACTTAGTCTTTTGACTTGTTACAGGCATGTTCAGTTTTTCAGTTTCTTCCTAGTCAGTTTTGATCATTTGTGTCATTCTAGCAATTTGTCCTTTTCATCTAGGTTATCTAATTTGTTGGTCTACAGTTGTTCTTAGTATTCCTTTATAATCTTTTTTACTTTTGTAAGGTCAGTAGTGATGTCCCTTCTTTGACTCTTGATTTTAGAAATTTAAATCTTTTTTCTTTGTTTTTTCTTGGACATTATAAAGGTTTGACAATTTTGTTGATTTTTCAAAGAACCAATTTTTAGTTTTGTTGATTTTTCTTTATTATCTTTCCATTCTCTATTTCATTTCTTACTGCTCTGTTCTTTATTATTTCCTTTTATCTGCTTATGTTGGGTTCAGTTTACTCTTTTTTCCAATTTTTTATTTTATTATTATTATTTTTATTTTTGAGATGGAGTTTTGTTCTTGTTGCCCAGGCCGGAGTGCAATGGCACAATCTCAGCTCACTGCAACCTCTGCCTCTTAGGTTCAAGCAATTCTCCTGCCTCAGCCTCCCAAGTAGCTGGGATTACATACCCAGCTAATTTTGTGTTTTTAGTAGAGATGGGGTTTCACCATGTTGGTCAGGCTGGCCTCGAACTCCTGACCTCAAGTGATCCACCCACCTCGGTCTCCCAAAGATGACAGGCGTGAGCCACCACATCCAGCCTTTTTCCACTTTTTTAAAAGTGGAAGATTATGTTATCGATTTGAGATCTTTTTTCTTTTTTAATACAGGCATCTACAGCTATACATTTTCCTCTAAGCACTACTTAAGTGTATGCCATATGTTTTGGTATGTCGTATTTTCATTTTCACTCATCTTAAAGTATTTTCTGACTTCTCCTCTGATTTCTTCTTTGACCTATTGGTTATTTAAGATTTTGTTGTTTCATTTCCTTATATTTGTGACTTGCTCAAATTTCTTTCTGTTCTTAATTTTTAATGTATTTCTTTCCCAAATTACTTTCTGTTATTAATATCCTTCTTTCAATAAATTCCTATTTTTTTCAAAGTAAAGATACTTTGATCTTAATCCTTTTAAACCTATTAAGGCTTATATTATGGCCTAGCATAAAGTCTACTGTGGAGAATGTTCCGCATATACTATAGAAGAATGTAATTCTCAGGCCAGACACAGTGGCTCACACCTGTAATCCCAGCACTTTGGGAGCCCAAGTTAGGAGGATCACAAGGTCAGGAGTTCAAGACCAGCCTGGCCAATATAGTGAAACCCTGTCTCTACTAAAATACAAAAATTAGCTGGGCATGATGGTGCATGCCTGTAGTCCCAGCTACTCAGGAGGCTGAGGCAGGAGAATCGCTTGAACCCTGGAGGCGGAGGTTACAGGGAGCCAAGATAGTGCTACTGCACTCCAGCCTGGGTGACAGAGTGAAGACTCCATCTCAAAAAAAAATGTAATTCTCTTGTTGTTGGGTGGAATGTTTTAAATACATCCGTGAGGTCTAGTTGGTTTGAGTACTGTTCAAGTCTTCTAAGTTCGTGTTGATTTTCCACCTAGTTGTTTCATCCTTTACTGAAAGTTGACTATTGAAGTCTCTATAGTATTGTTGAATTGTCTATGTCTCCCTTCAGTTCTGTCCATTTTTGCTTCATGTAGTTTTGGGCTCTGTTGTTAGGTTCTCATGTGTTTATGATTGTTTTATCTTCTTTTTTTTTTTTTTTTTTTTGAGATGGAGTTTCGCTCTTGTTGCCCAGGCTGGAGGGCAATGGCGTGATCTCGGCTCACCGCAACCTCCACCTCCCAGGTTCAAGAGATTTTCCTGCCTCAGCCTCCCAAGTAGCTGGGATTACAGGCATGCACCACCATGTCCAAATAATTTTGTATTTTTAGTGGAGATGGGGTTTCTCTATGCTGGTCATGCTGGTCTCTAACTTCCGACCTCAGGTGATCCACCTGCCTTGGCCCCCCAAAGTGCTGGGATTACAGGCATGAGCCACCGAGTCTGACTATTTTATCTTCTTGATGTACTGTTTTATCATTATAAAATATCCCTCTTTGTCTCTGGTAACAATTTTTGTCTTTTTTTTTTTTTGGATATGGAGTTTCCCTCTTGTTGCCCAGGCTGGAGGCTGGAGTGCAATGGTGCAATCTCAGCTCACTGCAACTTTTGCCTCCCGGGTTCAAGCGATTCTTCTGCCTCAGCCTCCCAAGTAGCTGGGATTACAGGTATGCGCTACCATGCCTGGCTAATATTGTATTTTTAGTAGAGACAGGGTTTCTCCATGTTGGTCAGGCTGGTGTTGAACTCCCAACCTCAGGTGATCCGCCCACCTCAGCCTCCCAAAGTGCTGGGGTTACAGGTGTGAGCCACCACTCCCGGCAACAATTTTTGTCTTAAAGTCCATTTTGTCGCTATTGGTATGGCCACACCCAGCTCTTATGCTTGCTGTTTGCATGGTATTTTTTTGCGTCCTTTTCCTTTTAAACTCTGTATCTTTGAAACTAAAGTGTTCTCCTGTAGACAACATATAGTTGGATCTTGTTTTGTTGTTTTTATCCAGTTTCACAATCTCTGCCTCTTAATTTGATTATTTAATCCATTCTCATATGATGTTATTACTGATATGCTTGGATTTACTACATCTACCATTTTGCCATATGTGTGTGTGTGTATGTGTTTGTGTGTGTGTACACACAAAAAAAGAGGAACAAACTAGTTATTATGTATGTATGTGTGTGACTATTTTGTTCCTCTGTTCCTCCTTTATTTGAAAATTTATTTTTGGCCAGGCGTGGTGGCTCAAGCCTATAATCCCAGCACTTTGGGAGGCCGAGGCGGGTGGATCACGAGGTCGAGAGATCGAGACCATCCTGGTCAACATGGTGAAACCCCATCTCTACTAAAAATACAAAAAATTAGCTGGGCATGGTGGCACGTGCCTGTAATCCCAGCTACTCAGGAGGCTGAGGCAGGAGAATTGCCTGAACCCAGGAGGCGGAGGTTGCGGTGAGCCGAGATCGCGCCATTGCACTCCAGCCTGGGTAACAAGAGTGAAACTCCATCTCAAAAAAAAAAAAAAAAGAAAATTTATTTTTGTAAATTGTCTGAGGTAGAGGTTGAAGTCCAGGTAGTTAGCTAACTGTGCTGGCACTCTTTTCAAAAACTGTCCTTTTCTACTGAATTGCAATACCTCTGTATTATATATATATATTATTCTCATACATAGTTTGATATATTTATGAAATTTCTCTTATGTTCTATTCATGTATCAGTCTTCTCTTGTCAATATTTGTTGTTTTATCTCGGTAATTAAATGATAAATTTAAATATCTGGTATAGTAAGTTCCTCCTTATTTTCCTTCTTTTCAAATGATTGTTCATGTGAATTTTTGACATTCAAAAGGAAATACTATTTGTAATCCTTTTAAAACTTCACAAAATGCATGTGTGCATGCACACATACATATACATACACACATAGATACATATGCATACATTTGCCGTCTAGTAGTGATATGTGTGAATCTAGGCAACTCATTTAAAGTAAAAATTCATAAATAGTAATATTGCACATTAAAATGAAACACAACAGGATGATTTATGTTACTTTCACCTAATTATTTTTTTCTTTACATAGAGTGAGTACTATGGAAAACAGTGCCATCAAGATATTAAGAGAGAGAATGATTTCACGAAAAACTGACCTCATTCATGCTTTCCAACATCAAGACCGCAGAAAATCAGGTAATAAAATTGTTTAACACTTACCGTTTCTTAACACACCAAGTTATGTACAGATCACTTTTCACTTTCTTTGCTTCCTTAGGATGTCAGTTCTCCATTTTTACTAAGAAGGAAGAATAGAGATAAAAAATATATAATCCATTATTTGTGCAAAAAAAGGCACATTCCTCCCTTTTAGCAAGCTATTTTCAATTTGGAAAACTAACATCAACCCTGAATTAAACTTCTATTCTGATAGTATGCTAGACTAGACATTCTGGGGGGCCTTCCTATTAACAGACAGCTAGATTCTGGAAGATGCAGAATTTAATGCTTTTACCAGCCTCATAGTAAGGTGACTCTTCCAGCTGCATCTTCACTCTCCATGAAAGATGATTTGAAACCACACATGGGAGCATGGAGCAACAAGAAAGCACAAAAGGCTAGATTGTCCTGGGGCCCAATGCTGATATTGGTATAGCAATCAATCCTGAAACTAAATTATAATATATTAGAAAGATAGAAAAGCTGCATTTGAGGCCTCCATTATCATGCTTGCACCCTCAAAGTGGCTACAGTTGTCCTAAGTCTGTAATGCTCCCTGGCTCCTGGCAAGCAAATGCAAATTTATCTTTGAGGGAAGCATCCCCAGTTTTGGCCACTCGTATATCCAGAGATTAAGATCAACTCACATGAGTTCACAATCAAAAATTACCAAACAAGGATACAAACTACCATCAGTGAAAGTCAGCAGAAACAACAGTTACTTCCCTGAGGACATCAGATATTAGAATTATCAAATAAAAAATATGTTTAAAGGAACTATGAAATCAGAAACATGCATTTGGGAATGATTTGAAGAAGAACTAAATAGAAAATATACTTGTTAAAAAAAGAAAAAGCATAATGGATCAGTTAAACAGAAAATTAGACACTTCTCAAGAAAGAATTAGAGAGATTAGGAGTATAAACAGGCCAGGCACAGTGGCTCACACCTGTAATCCCAGCACTTTGGGAGACCAAGGTGAGTGAATCACCTGAGGTCAGGAGTTTGAGACCAGCCTGTTCAACATGGTAAAACCCTATCTCTACTAGAAATACAAAAAAAAAAAAAAAAAAAAAAAAAAAAAAAAAAAAAATTAGCTGGGTGTGGTGGCAGGCACCTATAATCCCAGCTACCTGGGAGGCTGAGACAGGAGAATTGCTTGAACCCAGGAAGCGGAGGTTGCAGTGAACAAAGATCGCACCATTGCACCCCAGCCTGGGTGACAAGAGTGAAACTCCATCTCAAAGAAAGAAAGAAAGAAAAAAAAAAGAGTTATGAACAGTAGAACGAGAAGTTTACATACACCTACTCAGGGCACTGGGAGGAGAGAATAGAATGTGAGAGACCATATATTTGACATGGTAATGGCTGAGACATTTCCAGAATTGATAAAAGACTCAAATTCATAAAGAGGAACAGTGATTCACAAGCAGAATAAATAAAGTTAAACCCACACCTACACACATTGGTGGTGAAACTCCAGAGCACCAGTGGCAAAGAAAAACATCTTTAAAAAGCAGGCAGAGAGGAAACACATATTGCTACAAAGAGATAAGAATTAGACTGATAGATTTCTCCACAGTTGCAAAATTAGACTGTAGAATCATATACGCAAAACATTAGAAGTTAAATTTAGAAAAAGATATGCCATGAAAACACTAACAAAAATAAAGCTAAGGTAGCTTTATTAGTGTCAGACAAAGTAGACTCTAAGGAAGTATATATTCCTAGAAATGAAAAAGAACATTTCATAATGATAAAATATTAATTATGCCAATTGAATACATTCTAAATGTGTATGTACCTACTAATATAGCTTCAAAAATATTCAAAACAAGAACTGACAGAAGAAAAAGTAGAAGTAAAAACATCTACCACCATAGTGAGAGGTATTAATACTCCTCTCTCAGGAACTAAAAAAGCAGATGAAAGATTAGCATACTTTTTTCTTGAAAGATGACATAGAACTCAGCACCCAGCATTTCAGAATGCATATACTTATCAAACACAAACGGATCGTTTACAAAAAGTGACCACACACTGGAACATACAGTGAATCTCAATGGGTTTTGAAGTAGCGGAAACATTACAAAATAAATGATCTGATATAGTGACTTGAGCTACAACTCAATAATATAAGATAGTCATAAAATTGCCCTTTGGCTTGGAAATGAGAAGTAAACTTATAAATAATCCTTGTCTCAAAGAGAATCACGGTGGAAATTAGAATGCTGAAACTGAATGACAATGAAAATGTAACTTACTAGAACTTACAGGATGCAAATTAGAAAGGCACTGATGATAACCTGAAATGTAAAAGATGAAGTTATGATTAACAAAGGAAAAAAAAAGTTGTTGTTGTTGTTGTTATTGTTGTTGTTTTTGAGATGGAGTCTCCCTCTGTCACCCAGGCTGAAGTGTAGTGATGCAGTCTCGGCTCACTGTAACCTCTGCCTCCTGGGTTCAAGTGATTCTCCTGCCTCAGCCTCCCGAGTAGCTGGGACTACAGGTACACACCACCATGCCCAGCTAATTTTTTTAAATTTTATTTTTAGTAGAGATTAGATTTCATCATGTTAGCCAGGCTGATCTCAAACTCTTGACCTCAGGTGATCTGCCTGCCTTGGCCTCCCAAAGTGCTGGGATTACAGGTGTGAGCCACTGCGCCTAGCCAAAAAATGGTTCTTTGACAAAACCGTTAAAGTTGACAAAACCATGGTGAGACAGAGAGAAAGAGAAAACAAATAACCAATGTGATTGTAGGGAGGAGCTGCTGTCTAAGGTTGAGAGAGAGGAGCCATGGAAGGAAAAACTTGAAAGAAACCCCTACTCCCAATCAAGAAATGAGATCATGCCCTCATTGGTGAGGATGTGGCTGTGGTCCGCTGGGTAGGACAGAAGTTCACTGAGGTGTCTCAAGTTAGAGTTGAGTCTCTGGCTAGTGGGCCAGGACTGGAGAGGATAGAGCCACCCACTGGGGTGCCAGCAACACCTTCTTAGGCTGTGCTACACTGCGTCACCCACACACTGATGACACGTGCTGTGGTATCAGTGAAATTTGCTAGAAGGTGGGTGCCACTGCATTTCCCACACACCTCTGCTAACCATGCTGTGCTATAGAAACAAAAAGCAGGGTACACCAGAACCAGAAAGAAAGCCTTTTCTTTGCTATTCTTTGCAGTATTCTTCCTGCACTGTCTACTAACAAAGCCTAACGTTATAGGAGCTGCCAAAGAAGCAATGATTACAGGGTCCAGTTCTAGTATCACAAAACGTGGCAAGAAAAAAATAAAAAGAATAGTTTTGGAGCTAAGTGGGAATAAATTGATAGCTGGGGTAGCCAGAAGTTAGCTTTTAGATAAGAAAAATCTTAAAAGATACCATTCACAATAGATAAGTACTCAGGAGAAACCTAATGAATGAGGTATGAGAGCTCTAAGATATTATTAAGATAAATCAAAGGGAACTGAAATATGTGGGTAGGTATTACTGTGTTCGAGGACTAGAAGGGTTGAAGTTGTCAAGATATAAATTCCTCCCAAATTGAGCTGTAGGTTGAATGCAATCTCAGTTAAAATCCCAAAGTGGGGATTTTTCAGTATATCTTGAGAATCTGCATCTAAAACTCATGTGGAATTACCAAAGGCCCAAAATAGCCAAGATGTTCTTGAAGAAAAAGAATAAGGTGGGAAGACTTTCTTTATTATATATCAAGATCTGTTATAAAAGTACAGTAATTAGAATGGTATATAATCAGCACACAGATACCCGTATAGACAATGGAAGCAAATAGAGAATCCTGAAACAGATTCATGCAGTTATAGACACTTGAAGGCACCACTGCTGAGCAGTGGGCAAAGGAGTCTTCAATAAACGATTCTGGGCCAAATGGATATCCATCTAAAAATAGAAACAGCCTACATGTAATAAAGATATTTGTGTTTGGAAAAATTACATGTATTAGGAGGAAAAGGATATTAGTTGTGAAATGACAGGTAAATAATACATCTTTTATTCTTTGTATTCTTTTCTGTTTTCAAATCTTCTATAATAAGCATACCTAGGCCGGGCACAGTGGCTCACACCTGTAATCCCAGCACTTTGGGAGGCCAAGGCGGGTGGATCACTTGAGGTCAGGAGTTCAAGACCAGCCTGGCCAACATGGTGAAACCCCTTCTCTACTAAAAATACAAAAAAAAATAAAAAATAAAAAATAGCCGGGTATGGTAGTGTGCACCTGTAACCCCACGTACTTGGAGGCTGAGTCAGGAGAATCGCTTGAACCCAGGAGGTGGACATTTCAGTGAGCCAAGATGGCACCACTGCACTCCAGCCTGGACAACAAGAGCCACACTCCTTCTCCAAAAATAAATAAATAAATAGGCATACCTTACTTTGTTAATCAGAAAAAGGAAAAACAAATAATCTAACAACCAAAGTCTGATTTCTTACAGGTGACAGGAAGGACATGATCTGTGGAATACTAAAGATATTCTTGAGTTACTTCTCCTTCAGGACTACAGGGCCTGGGAGCATAAATTATGACAGAGAGCAGCTGGCCCCATGCTGCCCTGGCTCTCCCAAGGAGGTTGCATTCTTTAAAATCATATCATAAACAAATCATTTGGGCTTTTTTGTTGTTGTTGTTGTTGTTAGGAAAACTTCCTGTGAGCCAGTGGGCTTTTTGCATGGAGAGCATTTTGGGACTGCACTTACCATGGAGATCCCTGAGTTCGAATCTGGCAACCATAGACGAAAATGGAAACATTGAATACATGTCCAGCTTCCGGAATATCCACATTGAAAAACCTATAAAAGAGGCAAGTGAAACATAGCCCCAGCTAAAACCTGGGCAGGGCAAAACATAACTTAGTCCTTTGAAAAGCTGGGAGTGGCCAGGTGCAGTGGCTCATGCCTGTAATCCCAGCACTCTGGGAGGCCGACGCAGGCGGATCATGAGGTCAGGAGTCTGAGACCAGCCTGACCAACAAGGTGAAACCCCATGTCTGTCTACTAAAAATACAAAAATCAGTGGGGCATGATGGCGCATGCCTGTAATCCCAGCTACTTAGGAGGCTGAGGCAGGAGAATCCTTTTAACCCAGGAGGCGGAGGTTGCAGTGAGCTGAGATGGTGCCACAGCCTGGGCAACAGAGCAAGACTCCCTCTCAAAAAAAAAAAAGAAAGGAAAAGAAAAAGAAAAAAGAAAATCTAGGAGTGGAATAATCTAATAGATGGAGTTGCAGTCTTAGGAAAGGCTGAAGGGGAATCTCCCAGGTACACTGTGGTCTGTTCAGCAAATTTCTGTGTTCCTAGGATAAGAAAAAAGAATAATTAAAAAAAAAAAAAAAGCTTCAACAAACAAGTCCACATCAAATACTGGATTTTTGTTTTTTTAAGATCGGAGTCTCACTCTGTCGTTCAGGCTGGAGTGCAGTGGTGCAATCTTGGCTCACTGAAACCTCTGACTGCCGGGTTCAAAGGATTGTCCTGCCTCAGCCTCCCAAGTGGCTGGGACTACAGGTGCATGCCACCACACCCAGCTAATGTTTTGTATTTTTAGTAGAGATGGGGTTTCACCGTGTTAGCCAGGATGGTCTTGATCTCCTGACCTTGTGATCTGTCCACCTCGGCCTCCCAAAGTGCTGGGATTAGAGGTATGAGCCACTGAGCCTGGCTTGGATTTTTAAGAGCTGTCTAGCAGAAGGGTAGATCTGACATCTATGCTTTTTGTTTGTTTGTTTTTTGAAGCAGAGTCTTGCTCTGTTGCCCAGGCTGGAGTGCAGTGGTACAATCTCAGTTCACTGCAACTTCTCCCTCCCAGGCTCAAGCGACTCTCCTGCCTCAGCCTCCCGAGCAACTGAGATTACAGGTCTCTGCCACCATACTCGGCTGATTTTTTATTTTTAGTGGAGATGGGGTTTCACTGTGTTGGCCAGGCTGGTCTTGAACTCTTAACCTCAAGTGATCTGCCTGCCTCAGCCTCCCAAAGTGCTGGGATTACAGGCATGATCCCCTGCGCCTGGTCTGACATCCATGCTTTTATACAACATACCATTTAGAACACTTAATCTAGCCCTTGTTAAATTAGAGTGTAGACTTGCTGACATGACCCAGAATATGTCTGAAAGATTTTTGAAATGTAGAATCTCTTGTTAGAATGTGAATATCAGGGAGATTTATTGGATCCCTGTACTTATTACTTAACAATTCATCAGCAGTGAGATATAACATTGAGCTGAAAGGGAGCTGGTTGGAGCCAGGACTTGGGTGATCATTTGCAGGGAAGATGAGAAGGTAAGAGCAGAGAGAAGGGAAGTAAAGGTAGGTTAGAGACTAAAATATCCCCAGGAAGGAGGCTTTTGACTTCACTTCAGAGGCACTTTACCATGGTAACTAAGATCACAGGCCGTAGCTTCAGGCAGCCGAAATTTAAATCCCACTTCCCAGCTCTGTGACCCCTGGGAAAGTTCCGTTATCTCCCTTTTTTCAAAATTGTGAAATGGACATAATAATAGTTCTGTTCTTGTTCCTTCTTGTTGTAGAGGACCAAATGAAATAATCCACATGAACTTCTCTGTAAATGGTGGCTCTTGTTAGTTACTGCTGCCTTATTCACTTTGGCCCTGTCCCCTGAGGATCACAGACTGGATGAAGAGGGTGGGGCCTCCACGGGAAGGCTGGCCTTCTTAGATTTGTCTAAATCACATCATTTGAATTGGTGATGTTTTGTGTTTGTTATATTTGCTAAAAGTGATCTGTGTCATGAATTCGATATGTTCTAACACTTGGAAAATCTTTATTGTAGGCTAATTCAGCTCTCGTTGAAATTCTGTACAGATACCGATCTGACCTGGAAATCATATTTAATGCCATTGACACTGATCACTCAGGTAAATAAATGAACTTTGATGAGTTCATTTAAAAAACATATTTGTGTTTGTGTGTATTTTGGAGATACAAAGTGAGTACACTTGGATTGAGCTCTATAATTAAGATGGTTTGACCCCTTCATTGGTAAGACGGGCCTTGCTTATACATGCTGTTTAATGAAAATTGCAGGAGCCCATTGTTTTCGACTCAGCTCCTGCCCTAGGCCCCAACAGGCTAGACTACAGGTCAAAATGGAGGTAGCAGTAGTAGAAAGCAGAAGCTAGTCTGGTTCTCTGAAATCAGAACTCTGCTTTATCTATTTCATTCTTCATTAACATGACAAAACTTGAGAGGAAAAACAAACTTGTTTAATATTATTGTTATTTCGGTTTGGCTGCAGTCTCTGTATTCAAGATGGTAGAGTCCTACAGAAGCCTATGTAGCCATCAGTCAAACTGGAATAACTCTTTTTATAAATCACCAGTACAAATGAAGAGGCGATTTACCATCCATTTCAGTATCTCATTCCTAGAATTCTGATTCTGTTTTGGGGATTAAGAGCTATGAAAACTCATTTTCTGCCTTTAGCTTTAATGTACAATTACTGATTTTTCAAATTTTTTAAAACTCATCAGATAATTCCCTACTGCAGAGACCTTTGAACACCAAAAAAAAGATCAACAAATTAAATTATTGCCTATAAAAAAGGCAGCGCCATTGTTTGTAATCCTCTTATTGACCCCCAGAGCCTCTTCTCCCTCTTCTTTGATGTCACTTTCCTCTCTGCCCTCCTCCCATGCACCTCACCCTTCTATTTTAGATCCTATCATTTCTATACCACAATTAGTCCCACAGTTCACAGCCCCATCCCCATTTCTTCACTGTTTGCTCGTTCTGGCTTTAGAATAAGTTCGGGATCCCTTGGGAGTTGAAAGTGACATATTGTTTCTTACATTTATTTTTATGTTTTTATTTTTCTTTTTAAAGACAGGGTTTCACCATGTTGGCCAGGCTGGTCTTGAACTCCTGACCTCAGGTGATCCGCCCGCCTTGGCCTCCCAAAGTGCTGAGATTACAGGCGTGAGCCACCACGCCCGGCCTGTTTCTTACATTTATAATCTTACTCTTCCATATCCTTCAGTATCTTCATGGTCAGGCATTTTAGTGAGTTTCTATTTGGGACTATTCAATCAGTGTGGCTTCTGCAACCCCTGCCTTAGGTGGGTCTTAAAATGAACATTCATAACCTTCTTTTATATTCTTTTAGGGCTGATCTCCATGGAAGAATTTCGTACCATGTGGAAACTTTTTAGTTCTCACTACAATCTTCATATTGATGATTCCCAAGTCAATAAGATTGCCAACATAATGGACCTGAACAGAGACGGAAGCATTGACTTTACTGAGTTTTTAAAGGCTTTCTATGTAGTGCATAAATATGAGGCTATGATAAAACCCGAGGCCACCAACCTTGGCTGAACAACACAAATGAGAGCTTCCCTCAGGCCCCTTGTAAACAGCTGGGCCGAAATCACAAGCACAGTCCTTTCCAGCACCCCTGAAATTCATGGTTGGTAGCAGAGAAAAACAGATCCCAATTCAGTCCACAAGCAAATGCATAGTATGGGGTTTGGAAGTCCTTAGCAAGCTGTTATTGGTAAGATTAGGTTAAATGTCAGTAATAGGATTTGGTTCCAGCATTAGTACCCACATGTTGCCAGTGAGAAACTGGGTTTGAACCTAGTGTTGTTCTCCTGAGTGCCACCTAACCAGCAGCCCAGAGAGGTTTGAGAACATCTTGAAAGGAACCTGCACTGCACAGCAAGAGAAAACTACTAAGCGCAACATCTGTGAGTTACAGAGAGAGGGGAGGAATACCAGGTCGTTAATGGAATAAAGCATTTCCATCTTCAAACTGTGATCTTCTGTGGAGATTTTATAAGCCAGTGATCCTCAATTAATGGATCCACCCTTCAGGGATGAGAGCCATGTTGGATTCTTGGGGGGAATCTATGGGAGTGAATTGTTTGAAAAAGCATATTTGTGTGTGTGTGTGTGTGTGTGTGTGTGTGTGTGTGTGTAGGAGATACAAAGTGAATACACTTGGATTGAGCCCTATACTTAATATGGTTTGACACCTTCGTAGGTAAGATGGGGCCTTGCTTATGCATGCTGTTAAATTAAAATCATAGGAGCCCATTGTTTTGGACTCAGCTACTGTCCTAGGCCCCAATAGACTAGACTACAGGTCAAAATGGGGTCACCCATGTTGAGGTGCTATATCACCAAACTGAAAATGAGCTGTTATCTGACCTACTCGGAAATCAGGAGATAAAAACAGCCCAATTTCCCAAACCGGCCAGCTTCAGTTGGCATAATAATGCAGTTCCGTCTGCCTTACAACAAAAAGTAACCTGAAGTAACCTGGTGGGAACCAGTCAATGATTTGTCTATTATTATTTCCTTGCTCCTGTCTTACAAGGAAGGTAACTCTGAAATGACCAGTCTGCTTTCTGTGCTTTGGTTCTGCTTTCTTCAGTTTTTCAGTCTGTAAAAGCAACCTCTTCTGCTCAGCTTATCAGAACACTGTATTTTTATGGAAGGAAGTATTGCCTGATTCTAGACCCACAAACAAAGCCACTTAAGATATTTAAATGTTACCTTTTGACCAATCTGGTGGCCATGCCATCAAAGGGACCATAAGGAGACTACGGATTACTTTTTTTTTTTTGAGACGGAGTTTTGCTCTTATTGCCCAGGTTGGTATGCAGTGGTGCTCGGGTTCAAGTGATTCTCCTGCCTCAGCCTTCCAAGTAGCTGGGATTACAGGCATGTGCCACCACTCCTGGCTAATTTTTGTATTTTTAGTAGAGATGGGATTTTACCATGTTGGCCAAGCTGGTCTTGAACTGACCTCAGGCGATCCACCCACCTCAGCCTCCAAAAGTGCTAGGATTATAGGCATGAGCCACCATGCCTGGCCTCTACTAATCACTCTTAAGGACCTCTTGAGGAATGCAGGAGAGGTTCTGCTGACTCCTTTCAGGTCCTCTGTCTTCCTCACAGAGTCCTGGGTGTTGTAAATAAGTTCCTTTTGGGCCATACTCTGTTCTTTTTGCATTGAGACTCCTGAATTTTTTGGCTTTCAAATCCAAGGTAAATGCCATGAGTGAGCATTTGACCTCAGGGTACTGCTATGATTTGAATATGATGTGGCCCTCTGAAACTCATACTAAAATTTTATTGCCATTGTGGCCATGTTGGGAGGTGGGGTCTTTAAGAAGTGATTAAGTCTGGCTGGGTGCGATGGCTTACACCTGTAATCTCAGCACTTTGGGAGGCCGAGGCCAGCAAATCACCTGAGGTTGGAAGTTCTAGAGCAGCCTGACCAACATGGAGAAACCCTGTCTCTATAAAAATACAAAATTAGCTGGACGTGTTAGCATGTACCTGTAATCCCAGCTACTTGGGAGGCTGAGGCAGGAGAATCCTTTGCTCTTAGGAGATGGAGGTTGCGGTGAGCCAAGATCATGCCATTACACTCCAGCCTGGGCAACAAGAGCAAAACCCCATCTCAAAAAAAAAAAGTTATTAGGTCTTTAAGAGGGATTAGTGGCCGGGCATGGTAGCTCACACCTGTAATCCCAGCACTTTGGGAGCCTGAGGTGGGCGGATCACAAGGTCACGAGGTCAGGAGATCCAGACCATCCTAGCTAACACAGTTAAAACCCATCCCTACTAAAAACACAAAAATTTAGCTGGGTGTGGTGGTATGCACCTGTATTCCCAGCTACTTGGGAGGCTGAGGCAGGAGAATCGCTTTAACCTGGGAGGTGAAGGTTGCAGCGAGCTGAGATCACGCCATTGCACTCCAGCCTGGGCGACAGAGTGAGACTCTGTCAAAAAAAAAAAAAAAAAAGAGGAATTAGTGCCTTTCTCATAGGAACAAGTTAGTGATTGAAAAAGTTCAGCCCCCTTTTCTCTGGTGTGTGAGTGCTCTCTCCCCCTACCTTTCACTTTTCTACCATGCCATAAAACAGCATGAGGGCCTCATTGGATGCAGCCACCCAATCTTGGACTTCCCAGCCATGAGCTAAATAAACCTCCATTCTTTATAAATTACCCAGTCTTACGTATTCTGTTATAGCAACACAAAACAGACTATGACAGATATCAAGGGTTTGTGCCATGAGAGGACACATGACTTTTGGGTTTGCAGTAGATGATGAGTCACCTGCAAAGGCTGTGTTTTAGAGGTAACTGATAGTAGTTGCAGTAACTGATTGCTACTGTTGGAGTGAGCCTGGCTTTCAGAATTCACAGCTATCTATCCACTTTATTTCTTCTCTTCTTGTGTGCTGAGATAAGAAAAATCATTAGCTTGGCTGGGTGTGGTGGCTTGTGCCTGTAATCTCAGCACTTTGGGAGGCCTAGGCGGGCAGATCATGAGATCAGGAGTTCGAGACCAGCCTGGCCAACATGGTTAAACCCCATCTCTACTAAAAATACAAAAATTAGCTGGGTATGGTGGTGCATGCCTGTAATCCCAGCTATTCAGGAGGCTGAGGCAGGAGAATCACTTGAACCCGGGAGGTGGAGGTTGCAGTGAGCCAAGACCATGCCATTGCACTCCAGCCTGGGTGATAGAGTGAGACTATCTCAAGAAAAAAGAAAAAGAAAAAGAATAGAAAAAATTAGCCAAGCGTGGTGGCACACACCTGTAATCCCAGCTGCTCAGGAGGCTGAAGCAGGAGAATTGCTGCAACCCAGGAGGCGGAGGTTGCAGTGAGCCAAAATTGCACCACTGCACTCTAGCCTGGGTGACAGAGTGAGACTCCATCTCAAAAAAAAAAAAAAAAAAAAAAAAAAAAAAAAAAAAAAAAGTTAAAGAAGAAAAATCGTTAGCTAAATTGGGTAAGGGGATTTCAGAGCCAAAGCCAACTTGGCTCTGAGAGACCCAAGTTCCAACATAAAAATAGAATCCTTAACTTTGAAAGAACTGAGTCCTCTTGGCTTTAGGGTACACAGGTGTCAGTGATTCTTCCCCTCCCATGCACAGCTGTTGTTTTCCTATTTGTTATGTTTTTGTGTCCTGAGAACTTGGTCAATCAACCAAAGGTTGGGAGTTGCCAAGAATATGGCTAAACAGAAATGTGGGTTGCTCCCTGTTTGTGACTAGCGTACTGACTGTTATATCTAAATCTTTCTTTCTTTTCGCTGTCTTTGGTACTCTGGATTTTGATCTAGAAAGATTAATAAGAAACATAATGGACACCCCAAGTTCTAATGCATGCAAATATAGTTCCCCTTTAGGGACTCCAGCCAGCTATATGTTCAAACATTATGGTCCATTCTTGTGGACATTTTTAAACCTATGGGCAGATTATACCAAGGGCTTGGCCAGGCGTGGTGGCTCATGCCTGTAATCCCAGCGCTGTGGGAGGCCGAGGTGTGTGGATCACTTGAGGTCAGGAGTTTGAGAGCAACCTGACCAACATGGTGAAACACTATCTCTAATAAAAATACAAAATTAGCCGAGCATGGCGGCACACACCTGTAATCCTAGCTACTTGGGAGGCTGAGGCAGGAGGATCACTTGAACCCAGGAGTCAGAGTTCGCAGTGACCCAAGATCATACCATTGCATGCCAGCCTGGGCAACAAGAGTGAAACTCCTTCACACACATGCACACACACACACACACACACACACACACACTCAAAAACCAAAAAAAGATTATACCAAGGACCATTTGGAGCTCCAGTGGCCTTTTTGTGGACTGTTCAAACCTCCCAAGTGTGTTGTTTGTTTGTTTTTGTTTTGAGAGGGACTCTTGCCCTGTCACCCAGGCTGCAGTTCAATGGTGCAATCTCGGCTTACTGCAGCCTCCGCCTCCTGGGTTCAAGCAATTCTCCCGCCTCAGCATCCCAAGTAGCTGGGACTACAGGTGCACACCACCACGCCTGGCTAATTTTTTTTGTATCTTTAGTAGAGATGGGGTTTCACCGTGTTGACCAGACTGGTCTCAAACTCCTGAACTTGTGATCTACCTGCCTTGGCCTCCCTAAGTTCTGGGATTATAGGCATGAGCCACTGCACCTGGCCTGTTTTTATTCTTAGAACTAAATTAGAAGACTGTAGCTATAGGGTTAAAGTCTGAATAGGATGTATATAATTGATTAGCGTGTAGAGCCTTCTAAGCTCTCTTTCTCGCTGCCCTCCCCTGCCTACTTAGAATCTGCTGACTTTTTTGCTTGGTTACCTGCCCAGGATTCCAAAATAGTCTTTTTAAAAGATTCATTGCAAAGAGCTAATGAAAGGCTAGAAATGGAAGATATCCCCCACACCAAGGATGGTAAAACTGATGTAATTCCTACTGCTGCTCTCTAGCCTACTTTGCCTGAATATTTAGACTATTCATACTCTGTCTGATTTGCCTTTCTTCTGTGAAAAATTAAAAAAAAAACTTGAAACAGTTAAACAGTTTCCTTGTAGCATAAAACCACCTGAAAATTTCGGAGATAATCCTGGAGTGATTTACATTCCCTGTATAAAAACAGCTCAGAGCCATAGGTTAAAAATTTTGCAAACCCAGGAAAGATCTTTAAAAGTTTTCTGAAGGCTGGGCACGGTGGCTCACCCCTGTAATCCCAACACTTTGGGAGGCCAAGGTGGGTGGATCACGAGGTAAGGAGTTTGAGACCAGCCTGGCCAAGATAGTCTTGAAACCTGTCTCTGAAACCCTGTCTCTACTAAAAATACAAAAACATTAGCTGGCACAGTGGCAGGCGCCTATCATCCCAGCTACTTGGCAGGCTGAGGCAGGAGAATCACTTGAACCTGGGAGGTGGAAGTTGCAGTGAGCCAAGACGGTGTGACTGCATTCTAGCCTGGGTAACATCAAGACTCCATCTCAAAA